CGGGTTCAAATGGGCTATTTTTTGGCCGAGCCTAATGGCTTGGGAATTGCCCACGTTAAAAAGGCCTTGTGCCACATGACACCCTCGTGTGGGGGTGACTGAATATAGTCAGTAGTTCAAGTCGAGTCAGTAGTTCAAATCGAGTCAAGAGTCGAGTCAGAGGCAGTCCGAAACAGAGTCGCGTTCAGACAATTACTGCAAGACATTGGAATAGTGATACTGGTCGAGATTACATTGTTCTCTCTACTAAACCTGATTGTTCATACTAACACTTCTATTTCTCTGTATATATTCCTGTTTGTAATATATCTGTGTTATTCCATACCCGTGTTCGAGTTTTTCTTTATTGGTTCTACCTTGGACTATCACCGTGGTACAAGGAACCGGACCATAAATATATATATATATATATATATATATATATATATATATATATATATATATATTGGTATTTATGGTTGTTATGTGTTTGTTTATATATATATGGGCTTGTTTGCATTTGTAAGTGTGTGCGAATATATGTGTGTGTGTGTATCTATGTGCATGTATCTGTATATGTTTATATCTTAGTGTTTTTAAATGGATTATCTATGCTTACTATAATTTTTTTGTTTGATAATGATTTTAAAATTGCTTATGGACTTAATAATCAACAGTTGTGTTTTGTTACACTTTAATCTTGTATGGACTCTGAATCATTTATAGTCATTTTGATAACATTGTTAGTATATTTTTTTAGTTTCTTTCTACTTATTTTTATATGGGTGTATTTCCTTAGATTTTTGTATTTGGTATATGATTGTATATATATATATATATATATATAATCGACGTATGAGGGTCAGGCCGATAAGTCCCCGGCACATGAGATTTGTTTATAGTGGTGAAGGCCTTGTGCAGGACCAGCCACACTTTTTGGAGGGACGAATACAGAAACCTGGAATGCATGCCACAAGGTTCCCAAACGACCCTCCGCAGGTTTTTAATTCAGAGTTGTCCTTCTCCTAGACCAGTTGCCATCCAAGGCTATAGAACCTGCTATTTTACCCATAGCTGGAGGGAGATGAAGAGGATACATACCTTTCCCAAGGGTATTAGCACGTAAGTGAATGCAGTGGATTCGACTGGAATTGAACTGTGTGTGTGTGTGTGTGTGTGTGTGTGTGTTTGTATTTATATATATTTTATATATGTGTTTGTTTATATATTTATAGGCTTCTTTATGTATGGGTTTGTAAATGTGTGTGTGTGTGTTTTGATTTTGTATTTGCCTTTGTATTTCCGTGTGTTGGGTTATTTTGTTGTTTTTATATGTTGCTGTGTAGGTTGATATATTTATTTCTATGTGTATATATACGTATGCGTATGTGTATGTATATATATATATATATATATATATATGTGTGTGTGTGTGTGTGTGTGTGTGTGTGTGTGTGTGTGTGTGTGTGTGTGTGTGTGTGTGTGTGTGTGTGTGTATAAATTATATATAGTATGTATGTGTGTACACGTACGTATACATATTTATATATATTGTTATATGTTTGTGCTCGTGTATATGAACTCATGCGTATATACGCATGAGTTCATATACAAATACCTCATATATACTCATATGAGTATATATGAGGTATTTGTATATATTTGTGTTATTTCTTTTTTATATATTAGCTGGTTTTATTTTATTTTAAGTGTTACTTTTTGCCTGCAGATTTGAATTTGCTGTTTTTTTATGTCTGTGTATTCGGATATATTCATTTCTTCTGTCCATTTCTATGTATTTGTCTTTTTTCTTTGCGCTGTTCGTTGCCGAATATTTGTTTTACTATTCTACCCCTTTTAAATTTTACCTATTGAACCCTTTTTTTATCTATGTATTTTTGCCCTTATATGTAATATTTTGATAGTCTGTTTGCGTTCGTTTAACAATAGTTTCAAATTTGAATCTTTGTGCTTGTGTATATGCCTATGTCTTTAGTTATGTTTGTGTGTATGATCGCTTATATATGCCTTTCATTGTATGTATATATTATCTGATTTTATATTGGGGGGTCGTGGACATCTATTTCCTGTTTTGTTCGTGTTTTTGCGTGTTTATATGTCTACGTGTTTGTGTATTATAATCTGATTGTGTATGTATTGTCATTTGAAACATTTCGTCCTCCCCTGCCCTTATGATCACTTCAAATGTATCTAAGTTGTGACGATGTTTTACATCACCATTAGATTAACGTTTATTCTAACTGAGATTGTGGTTTATCAATTAAAACAAAATAAATAATAAAATATATATATATTTTTCCTCAGTTTCCTCTTTAAAAAATTTTATAAGATTTTAAACTTAATACAGATTAAATTTAAAATTGGTAATTTTTAATTTTCAATTTTATAGCAAAATTTAATATTAATTAATTAGAATGATTTCTGTTTGAGTCTAAGCCTAACATTAAAACATTAATTATTATAACCAAGATTCGTTGTCAGGTTTTTTAAATTCTCATAAACTTGTATTTTGATTGGTCATTGCAGCTTATGTAAAAGTGTTTCCACTATCAAGAGATGTTTGGTTGATTTGAACCTTTTAAAACTCTTTATTCTGCATTCAACACTGTCACTTGATAAGACACCAGAAGTGTTGAAACAAAATGGCTATTTTTGTAGTGATTTTATAACATATTTATGTTACAATTTTCAAATAAATTATATATATATATATATATATATATATATATATATATACAGGGTGTGTGTGTGTATATATATACAGAGTGCATATATATATATATATATATATATATATATATATATATATATATATATATATACAGAGAAAGAGAGACAGAGTAAGAAGAACAGAGAGAGAAGAACAGAGAGAGAGACAGAGACAGCAAGATCTGTCTGTTTAATTAATTATGACTGTCGCAGTCATTATCAATTACCAACATGGTGTCTATGAGGTAGTTAGAATTCCTTTGTCTATATATTGGTATTCTTTGAGAAGCTGTAAGTGGGTAGGAAAATCTATGACAAAGTGGTGAAATGTTTCCGCGTGACGCCTTTTGTGTGAACACTCTGGAACAGATATGAATAGATAGATAGATAGATAGATAGATAGATAGATAGATAGATAGGTAGGTAGATAGATAGATAGATAGATAGACTGGGGTAGTTAGATAGAACTGAACAGACTGGGATAGATAGAGATAGATAGATAGATAGATAGATAGATAGATAGATAGATAGATAGATAGATAGATAGATTGGGATATATAGACAGATGGATAGATTCTGCCGATACGCGTACTTACATAGCTATTTTAGTGTGGGGTAAAAACACGTGAATTTCCTCCAATGAGGAATTTTAATTGTAACACAATTTGTTCACTTTGCATATTTAAAAATGTATTTTTTAATTCTTTAATTACACCTTACCCTCCTCCTCTTTACACCTCCCATCCACACAATTAAGCCCTCACCCCGCCCAAACTGGCATTCGGTCAGCTTCATTAGAACATAGAAAAGACAATAACAGATAGACTGATACAAAGAACGTCTATATATATATATATATATATATATATATATATATATATATATATATATATATATATATATTGCAAATATGTCATCAACGTAGCTACAAATCTAAGACTATAATTATGGATAATTAATGCCACTAACAATAACAAAAGAGTGAAGACGGAGTTGGCGACGGGGTTTGTGGGTGGGTGATAGAAATAAAAATGCGGAACAGTGGACGAGGAGCGAAAAACTCGATTTTGATTTGTGAATAATCATAAATACGGTATTGACAACAAAAGCTGTTTTTTTGCTGCATAGCTCACGTTTGCTTTGTGCGAATTTAGATTCTTAAACAAAGCAAATTGATGCTTGCTTAAAGACAATGCCTTCTAAAACAACACGCTCCGCCAAGGATCAGTTCACAAGAAGAAAATTTATACCTTAAAAGTTTGAGCGAGATGTTCTATTGTGTAAATGCTGTTACGTTCCAACGAAGACGCAAGGTTACTGAAAGTGTTAAAACTAAGAAGGTGTTATTGAAGAGAAAGAGTAATACGAAATATTTTTTTAAAAAATACAAGATTCAAGGAGACAGAAGATGACGAGTAATGTTATATTTAAATTTTTGAAAATTTGTCGAGAAAGTTGCGTTCCTTCTCGACAAAGAGGAACTCCAGATCAGAAAAGGCAGTCGGGTCGATTCCCCGGTAGTGTTTTACAAAAATACTGCCTCGGTTTCGCGACCTTGACACCTGCCATCTATCTATTAACAATAATTTAAATGTATCATAATTGTAGCTATCTAAAGCTCGGAGGAATAGTCACCGTCCCGGTAACATTGGTTGGCCTATTTCTTCTCTCAATAAGCGGCTTTGTAGTATATGTTTCTTTCGGCAACAATTGTGGATTAGTCACAGACACAGGCTGATTTAGCTAACTCAAAAACTGAACAGCCAGCAAGTGGAGGAGGGAAAGCCTCTTTTATAACACGGACCGATCGCTCTCGCCACTACATCCGGGCACAAGGCTAAAGTTTTGTGAGGTACGCCTTATTTACCACGATATGCTAATGCATAGGGCCTACCGATCAACTACTGTCCCGTGCGCCTAGACAACCCCCTCCTTTTTCCACAGACTGTAGTCAACAGAAAAGTAAGAAGCTGGAAGTGCGAATGATGAAACTATTAGAATAGAACACACGGTTACACCTAGCAATTTCAACAATAAAATAATGAGACCTAGCTGCCAATCTAGTACTAAGCTTCAATTTTGTTTTTCAAGAAAGCAGAAGTAGTAGACTGATTATGAGTTTTGTCTGAGTTTGCTGATGCAAATTCCATGTTAATTCTCTTAGGTAAGGCATATATTCACATTTCCCTCAGTCATAAATAAATAACAGGATAGTATGAACCTTTTTACCTCGTCAGCCAGTCTAATTAGCGGCCGATTAAGGAAAAAAGTCCACCATTAGCGTCGCATAACGTTGAAAAACCGGTTCCCGTACAAACACTGAAATTAAGCAACGTCGAGCATGGTCAGTACCTAGATGGGTGACCGGTTGGAAATACCATGCGTTGTAAACTTGGATGTGCGAGTGGTATAATGGATAATGAGACGGAATTACTAATTGGATAGCCAAGTTCTAATTTCAGTTGGGATCGTTATATTCATTTACGCGCAAAATACCCCTGAGAAAGGCATGAATCCACCTCTCTTCACCTTCCAGATATATGTTAATTAGTATGATTTGTATCACTAAATCATTATTATCTTCAAAACATTTTACGATCTAAATATACTTTCTGGCTTTAAATAACCTGCAAATAGTTGATAAGCCGTAAAAAAACGAATCACTCAATCTATCAATCCAACACTGACCTAGGGCAATAATGGGAAACGAGTAAATATCTCAGTTACGAAGGAGACCCCAACATAGCCTTGCACAAAAGCAAAAATGATGTACCAAAAATAGTTTCATTTATTCCTTTTTTTTTCGATGACGCATTGACAACGATTATTATTATTATTATTATTATTTGGGCTACATATATACGAAACCCAATGTACCCATCATGACAACCAGTCTGATAAGGGTATACCAGGTACATGCAGCACAGCCAAATGTGTGCGATATGATGAAAGGTTTTGATAAAGGCAACGCACAACCTTGCATATTGGACCCAGTCTGAAATACCTTCAGGTTGGATAACCCATTCCGTTCAGACAGTCTGTAATTGACGGTGTTTCCAAGTATCTAAATGTAACTGCCAGTCCAAAATTGGTCCCTTTTATTAAAAAAAAAACAAAAAAAAACCTCTCGACACCCGGCCATGATGTTTTCCCCCACCACCACTACTCCTGCTCATGAACAGAGATTCACAGTGTACCATTTCCTGGGTAATATTCCCAACTGGTTATGGCCAGGCAAGGGACAAGAAAATCTGGGGTACTGAACGGAATATTTACTATAGATCATCTTAAATCACCAAGATAAAATATTTACACTATGTCAATACCTTCAGTCAAGATGAGAAGTCATGAGAGCCACTCCAGATGTAGCATCTGAGTATTCATTATTATTACTAAATTTAAGTCTTAATTTTCTGTTGCTTTTTTATGACAATTTAAGCAGGCCGTTGATCTACTACAACGAACAAACAGTGACGATCCGAAATAATAAAAAATAAGTCCCTGGTAAGATTCGAACACATGTCATGCCAAATTTATAATTCTATTATTTCGAACAGTGTTGTTTCCTCGCTGCGGTAAACCAACGGTCCGAATAGGGCGGCGGTAAAAAGCAACTAAAAATTCAAAATTATATGAAACAAAATCAGGATTAATAATAGCGAACAAAGTCTCATCTAAAAGATAAAAAAAGATAATAGAAAGATCTAGAAAGTGTGAATGTTACGTTTATAGGGTTAGAGTTCAGCTTATGCCAACCGTAGTGTTCCCTGTAGTCTAGACGGCTTTTTCGATATTTTTTTTTATTTATTTATATTTATTTTTTGTACAGTTATACAAAGCCCAAAAGCCACCTGAGGTAAAGCTGAGTTCATGTTTCTTTTGAGAACATAGCCATTCTATTTGTGGTTCGCGGCAACTAACGACGAGAGAGTATTATTAACCGAAAAGTACTCACATTGGTGTAGTTAGCATACCTGGTGAGAATCGAACTCGTCAGTAAAACTAAGCACTGCTCAATGGCAAGTGTCCACTTCAATCTCTTCGATTCCGTAGCTTTTGCTGTTCTCGCGCAAGGTCCTGGTAGTTTCCCCGTTTTCGTCTTTCCCTCCAGTTTTGTCAAGTGATCTTGCTAAATCGGCCACGTCGCTTTGTCAGGTCTGTTGCTAAGTATCAAGTGACAACAAGTCTCTTCAGCCACCCCCCACCAGTCCGGCTACCTAATGTCTTCATTATAGTGCAATCAGTAAATACAACCTGCCAAAGCGATATTCGTTCTGCAAGCGCCAGTTGCCAGTTAGAATCGTGCGCGCATGCGCTGAATTCCTTAACGCCATAACAGAAAATTGCACAAAGATTTTTTTTTATATAATGAAAATAAATGCTTCGCTTCTTAAGATATCCTCCAGCTAAGCCAACATCGGCTTCCGCTTTCTTCTCTCTTAACTTATCTCAGTCCCATGGGACTGCCTTTTTCAATCTTGGTAACACTTGTCCGCTCTTTCCAACTGCAAAACAACCAAAGCAAAACTATCATTTACGCTTGTAAATTGAATATTATATATGACGATTGTTTTTTTTGTTTTGTTTTGTTTTTGTTTTTGTTTTTGTTGTTGTTTCTGTAGGTGCTGAATTGGTATGTCATATCAGTACCAGTAAAAGGGTCTCGTGACTCCCTCACCCCATCTTTGATACATATATATTGTTTGGTTTTGTTTTTTGGAGGAGGGGGGGGTAAGCCTCTTTTCTATCGTCACTGACTGCAATCAATCTTCATTTATTCGGTAAGCACAT